AGCGCTGACTGCTCTGTCTCTCCGATCCAGCGGTGTCTGCAGGCGGGTGCACACGCCCATAGACTTGCGTCTTTGCTCGTCTCCCGGCCGAGAATCGGAACTGCGCATGCGCCCGCCCCAAGATCCTTTGCGGCCGTATGATCACTTCCTGATTCTCGGCGCGGGATCGAGCAGCGATAACAAGGGAAGTTTAAAACCAGTTCAAGCGTTTTTGTTTTTTTTTTAAACTTCTTGCCTATATCTACTGCTTGCTAGCAGTAGATATAGGCAAAAAAAACGGAGGGTTTAGAACCCCTTTAAGAATAAGATAAGTATTTCAGCTTATTCCATACCCAAATTAACGTTTAACCCTTATTATGCTGGGGGGCATCGCTGCATACTTTTTTTTTCTGCTGACTAGAGATCAGTTTTAATCTGAATTCTCTGTAATCTGTAATCTACTGGAGCCAGAATCCAGTGAACCCCTCCCAGGGCCATAGGGAGTATATTACCTGAAACATATTCGGTTTATCTTCCACTCTCATTACAAACAATTTAATTAATTATCGTCCCCGGTTCGAATCCTGGCCAGGTCACTATCTGCAAGGAGTTTGCATGTTCTCCCTGTGCTTGCGTGGTTTTCCTCTGGGTACTCCAGTTTCCTCCCACACTCCAGAGACATGCTGGTAGGTTAATTGGCTCCTCTCTAAGTTGGCCCTCTATGTATGCATTTGAGATAGAGACCTTAGATTGTAAACTCTTTGAGGGTAAGGAATGTGATGTGAATGTGCAACTATGTAAAGTGCTGCATAAATTGTTGGCTCTATATAAATACTTGTAATAAATAAAATAAAATTAAATACTCTGTGCCCCTGACAAAGTCAAGAGGACGTAAAGCATAGGGCAGAGATTCACACAGGTCACTAGACCTGAGACCAGGCGCATTAGACCTGAGAATATTACTAAGCCCAATATACAAGGTGAGAGTATAGCCAAAGAGGTGCAGTGAGATTTACTGATGGTGAATACACAGTTAAATAACAACGCAGCTAAACAGAGTTTCTTTTGGAGCACAACAAGTTTCATAGTGCATGGCAAAGGACTTTATTTTAGCCAGTGTTCATCACACATGTGTTTGTTTGTTATTATTGTATATAGATTGTTTGGAATGTTATAATTAGGGTTAAACACAGCGTTGCACTTATTACAAGTTTGAGTTTTTTATTTGTGAAACATTACACATTTCAAGCGCCGGAAAGCTTAACATTAGGTATGGGGTTGATACTTTTAGTGCAGAGGTAATTTATGTATCTTGCTCTTTGCCCTATTAAATAAACCCAGTAGGTAGTGTGATAATTACCATTTCTTTTGCTCAATTTTTGCAATGCATGCTTATTAGAACAGGGACCCCTCCGTCTGCAAAATCGCTACATAATAGTAGTGTAAAAATGTACCTATAAGGAAAAAAATGGATGACAATAACTGCGCTAGGAGTATAGTTGTGTTCTGAACAATGGACCAGCTGCAACAATCTGCGATTTAATAATGGTGTAAATCCATTTATATAATTTTTATATATTTTACATGTATTATTGCACAGAGTATTTTCACTTTAATTTTTGACTTCCCCCCATGTTCACAAGCACGAGGTGAATTTCACTTATCTACTTTGAGAGTTTTATTCGTTCACATTTTGACTGAGCGCAACATAATTAGCACTAATACAAGGGAAAAAAATTACAATAAATACTTTCCTAACCCTCCTCTTCCACAGTGCAGGATGTCTCTATACTTCCAGGGAGATTCCCGAGGAAGGATGATTATACCATATCTAGCAAGAAGACACTTCATTGTAGTGCAAGAGCATCTTCTTGCGAGATTTTGGATCCTCATTCAGGCAGAAGATAGTGGTAAGGTAAGTGTATATTTTCCCTTTATTCCTTACAAGTAAATGTTTCCATTACTTATATGAAGAGATTTTGACAGGGGAAAGGAGCCTTGCTCTAATAAGCAGATTGCATTTTCCTACAAGGTCAGGTTTAAATCATATTATAACACCTCTTGCTGAATCCAAAATAATTATAGTTAGTATAATTAGTAATATTATAAGATACCGTGTTTCCCCGAAAATAAGACACTGTCTTATATTTTTTTTGGCTCAAAAAAACACACTAGGTCTTATTTTCGGGGTAGGTCTTATTTTTTTGTAATGTTCAACAATCCACACTTATTCACGTACAACAGTCTACATGTATTCATGTACAAAAATATGGTGATCAGGCCAATCAGGGGTAACGTACCTTTCCAAGAGCAATTTGGTAACCAATCACTGGCCAGAATGAGCGAATCACGCTTTCACTATCGATTCCTCACAGGTGGAGTGCATTTGCTATCACTCCGCCTGTGACAGGAGACGGTGCTATAGAAGAGGCATCGGCTTTTGCGACTCTGCTCCCTCTGCTGCCGCCTCGCTTCCTTTAGTGGTGGCTTAGTTGGCACTGCTGATTCTCTCCTGCGGCTCTTCAAGTTCCCACGTATGCCACCACCAGCCCTGGGAATGGTCACAACTAGGTCTTATTTTCGGGATAAGTCTTATATTTTAGCAATTCCCAAAAATAGTACTAGGTCTTATTTTCGGGGTAGGTCTTATTTTCGAGGAAACACGGTAGTAGTAGTAGTAGTACACATTAGTAACTGAAGGAACAATTCTTCATGTTTGCTTGAAGTTTAACAGGAATTCCATTTGGCAAATTAAAAAATCTATGTGTTTAGTAATATTGCAATTGTGCTAAAAGAAAAGATCTGAGCTTAGGTGTATTTGTGCATTCCTCTCCTGAGTCACAAGCATGTGATCTCAGATCACCAGATTAGTGAATAACGGGAATGGGTAGGACTGATGCACTACAGCAAGACCGCAATGAACTGAAGTACAGAGCAGGTAGGTCAAACTCCCTTTACTCATGTCAAGGTGTTCTGTTTTTAAGTACTACTGGAGTGAACCTTTATTTCAGTTGAAAAATATACATGTCCATCAAGTTCAAGCATGTTGAGGGTTTCTGTATAAAGTGCTGCTGAATATGGGTATTTAACCTCCCTGGCGGTAATCCCGAGTCTGGCTCGGGGTGAATTTTCAATGCTAGGAGTAAACTGTAAATAAATATCAGCAATAAACCAAATACATTTTAGATATAAATATTAGTGGAGGAAAGGTATTTATTTTTAATGCTAAGAATACTTTGGCAGCGTTTTCTCCAGTGATCCATTTTTCTTGCTGTGGATCAAAAACATTGGAATGTGTGAGAAAAAGCTGGACGGAAAGGGCTGTCTTTTATTCCAGTCTTGGTAGCCAACTGAATAACTGACAAAAGCTTAAAGCCCATTTCTACCTTTGCAGATGTATTTAAAAAAAAAACATATGCCAATGAGGTACACCGAGTGTACCTGAAGCAGGCAAATGCAGCTGATGTATATGAACACACAAACTTACTTTTTTTGTTAGCTTTCCTCTTCATATTGTCATGGAAATGGATGCCTGTGTTTTCCAAGGCAGTCTGAGCTCTCCCATTCATTAGTATTCATAGTGACATCCCCCCCTGCCGGACAGTGTATTGTGTGCAAGGGCAAAGCTGCTGTTTACTGATAATGTTAGAATGAATAACAGGGAGGGGAGAGCTGTTTTTAGCCTGATTACTATCCGACCCTGGTGTCAGACTGAATTTCCTTTGGAGAAAATCTTGAATTTTTAGGATTCAGGCCTAATAAAAAGTTCCACAAAAAAACAAGGAAAGCCTGCAATGTGAGTCATGAAAATGTGCAGATGTGTACAACATCACTGCACCTCTTCATTACCACAATACATGCTAATCACTTACAAATGTGGAAATGGACTATAAAGTCAAACTGAACTCTTTGTTTAAATCAGCTAACTACATACTAGGTGCATTAAATCTGGAGCAGTTCCCTATGGAAACCAATCAGTTTCACTCTTCAGTCTGTTCAGTTAAGATTTGAAAATGAAAGAGAGAACATGATTGGTTGTCATGCACAGCTGCTCCAGATTTCGTGTGTTCCAGTTTTGATAAATTCCTCTCAATGTGTTCAGTGTCTTACAGTTATTATTTTTCTAAGGCAACTATAACCTCAGCAGAAAAGTCTATCCCATGTGAGCACATACAGAGTGGGTTCCTTGCTCTCTGTTGGGAAACAGTGGTCTCTCTGCAGAGGTCATGCTCCCTACTGAGTCAGACCTATAGCTCTGCTATCAGCAAAGGTCATGCCCTCTGCTGATTGGAGAGTCCTGGCTGTGGCATGGGTCGTATTGGACCTCTGCAAAGAAATCAGTGCTTCCCCACAGAAAGCAAAGGTTCCACTCTGCAGCTGCTGACAGCGGACATGCTTCTCTGTCAAAGCTATAGCTGCTTTAAAAAAGAAAAGAACTATAAGACATTCAACACGTTTTATGCATGTAGAATGCATTTAGTTTATTTAAACTAAGAGATTAATTGGGGTTTAAGCTAAGAGGCACTTGATGTTACTATTCCCAGAATATTTCATAAAGAAAATAGAATAACTATTGTTGGCATTTGGACACATTGGCTCTTAGTTCTGGTTTGAATTCACGCGTGTTTTATTAGTAGTTGTACAAAACACTCCAAGATTTCACGCTGCACAACACAGAGACATGGGACAGAGAGGTGGAGACGTAAAACCCAGCAGCATGCAGAGCCACAGCACTATTGTTGGGGCAAGAGTCCTTACAGGAGCACTCAATGCATACTACTGCTCTCCTCCTCTTGTAGAGGGAGCAGTCTTGAAAGAGACATTCATCTACCATCATACTCACGCATTCACATACAAACATACATCAAATGAATTATAATGTTGTATAGGTCATCTAGAATTTGAGAAAATAAACCTGTGCTTCTGAGGCATTATCTAGCCAAGTCTGGACATCCATTTTTGACAAACAGTCCATAAAATTTAGATAAACAGTTTCTTATCCTCTGCTACACTTCATGTTATTGTCCAATATTCTTGGTTTCTTCAACCATTGTCCACTGCATGGTACAATGCAGACCAGAGGTCATTGACTTTGGTTTATATAACTTGTATAGAAGAGAGACAGGCTGGTATAACAGAGATTTAGCAGATGTTGTACTGATGGACTTGTGAAATGAAGATCATATTGCAGCTGTCTTCATTAATCTATAGCAATCCACTTACATAACTGTAGAATTAATAGCTTTTAAACATTTAACATTAATTATATAGGGTTCCTTTTAGAACACCCAAAGCTTCTCAGAACAGTTCATGTCATTCTTGTTCCTTTTTTGAAACCTTGAGAAAACTTCTGGAACAATATGTTTGAAAGCATAAAACACTTCAGTGTTCCTTTAGAGATTTTGTATTGCAAGTCAAGTGTTAAAAAAGATGTATCCATAGATAGGCCAACTTTGTTTAAACTGTCCTCTGCATCCACTTACTGACAAGTGGTGACACATTAATTACATACATGCACACAGATGGTTCACCTTACTCCTGTGTAGTATTTGCCCCAGGTGTAGTCTTCCATGCCCCGACTTTTGCCAAGATACCAAATTTAAGGAACATCAAGTTATCCAAGATTTCCAAGATTAAATGTCTGATAACCAGCAAGTATGAGAAGGTTCTGCAGATCAAAAATAACTCATTTTTGGCTCCCTACAATGGAAGCTCTAGTGTTTGCTCAAATCAAAAAGAAGAAAAACTTGTTGTTTAACCTCTCCTTTGCTAGATGATCAACTAGCATCATTGTATGTACTAGCCATCTCTAACAGAAAAGTGGTTAAGATATGTGGCAGGATAACAGTTAGGGAAAGGAACATGGAGTAACACATCAGTCTTGCAGGCTAAGGGTTACTGGAGCAATGCTCTGAAAGGTTCTGGCAAGGAAAGGGTTCATGAAAATTTTCTTTGCAGGTCTAATTCTTCAGTCAGGGTAGATGATGAAACCAGAGAAGGTACTGTATTTATTAGTGTTTCCACCATGCACTTTGCCTCCATCCAGCTTTACATATACCTCGTCCCCCACATCCAGATGCAGTATGACGCTGTTACTGGCGTAGTCATAGTTCTGATCTGCATCCTGAGCAATGGCGCTAGCTCGAACCTGCAAGGGTGACAAGAATAAAAACTGAAATGTAAGACGTTCATCTACAGATATACATTAATAACAAATGTGCTGCAAAACAGTTATCTTATTATCACTGTTGAAGTAAATCGGTCTGGGAACTACAGAAGTAGGCATCTGATACCTCAGTGATTAAGGGGCCTATTTATAGAGAATAGTGAATATCACCATCCACTCACATCTACTTGAAATTGCAGTGTTAACACCAGACTACACCTGCATTTTATCCATATTTTATAAAATGCAGGCTGTAGTGTGGAAGGAGCCGTGTCCTGCGGAGTTCTGTTTGACTCTCTCCCTGATTTAAGGAAAAGGCTAGTCACATGACTTTGACAGGTCACATGAGCGGGATCTCCTTTTTTAGGACATTTTTTCCCCCATTAGTGTATTTGATTTGAGTCTTGCTTGCTCTGGAGTCCCAAAGCAAGTAACACGTAATGCATATTTGTAAAGCACAACACTTTGCTTTATAAATTGCTAGCATTTTGGCGGTTATATGGCTATGGCTAAAGACTGGACCCCTAAATGTTTTGATAACACAAGTTATGGCATTCTTTTGTCATGATGACCAACTCTGATAAGGATTATATGTCTGTTTGTTATTAACAGAGGTAACCTCTTGATGTTTGGTGGGGATCCTCTTTTTGCCATCAGATCAATATCTATTGCCCAGTGTATTATCTCGTACCACAAAAAGCTGAAGGGGCAGACCATAAATAAGCCAGTGTTTACAATACGCTGCCATTAGCACATGATAACACAGTCTAATTATGACCAGTAGCAACTACAATTAACCCCTGATCCATAATGTGTGCTACATATACTTTAATAGGTGACATACATACTTGCCTTGGTATACCAATGTGCAAGGCATCATTATGATCATATCATTATTGAATTTATCAAAACTGGAGCAGACAAAATCTATAGCAGCGGTGCATGGCAACCAATCAGCTTGTCTCTTTCATTTTCAAATCTTAACTGAACAAACTGAAGAGAGAAGCTGATTGGTTGCCATGGGCAACTGCTCCAGATTATGTTTGCTCCAGTTTTGATAAAATCCCCCCCATCGGATGAGTATAACCAGAGAACTATAAGGTAGGATGATTGGAGCACTGAGAAATTCCAGGTTGGTTTACAGTAACAAAATTGTTGGTGCAGATTGGGGGTCATGCCAACAAAGCGGTAGCTACACTTGTTTCATGATATGTCCATTTATAGCAATCAGTAGATTATAATAGTGGTAACTGCATGACCATCCACAGAAACAGCCCTACATCTCATCCTGTGGGTTTTCGATAGTCCTCTTTATTCCGGGTATGATTTTGTTTTAATAAAAGTCAGCTTCTCAGTCCCAATTTCCCCCTTCCCACACTGTGCTCAAGGCCCTCGCTGACATAACTTGTGCAGCAGGTCAGGCCAATAGGTTAGGCAAATTATGGGCCACCTCCAGCTAGTGGTACATCCTCAACATCCAGAAGATAATTTTCTGCCAGAACTCAACAACGTGTACGTTACACACTCCGAAATATAAAAAGGTCCTAGCAAAATAGAATAGATTACACTCAACCCCCCTAAAACATTAACCTTGCAACATTAACCCCAACCATTTTTTTTAACCTAAGCATTTCAAAAAATAAGGATAAAGATAAGATACAAAAAAAAAAAGAAAAAGACTGCAGG